TTTTTTTTTTAAAGAAGAAAATCGAATAGAATATCCATAGGAGAACTTTTTCAAGTAAGAAAAGAAACATAATTCTCTATTTTAGTTTTTACATGTAAATCTTTAACACAAAATCCACTGTGTAATTAATATAACAATCCTACATATGCTTACTCTTTTTTTAAAAAAAAATTGAGTTTTCACAAAGAGAAAAAAAATACAAATAAAACATCTTTTTTGAAAGTAGCGTAATCCCGGGTTACATTTCTTCGTACAGACACAAATTCAGGTTCATGCTCATTTTTATATTCTATTCCATATCTTATTACTATTTTACATTTTCTGCATAGCTTCTCCCCTCTTTTAATTTTCTCAATTTTATTTTAATTATCTCATCTCAAATCAAATCATTGTATTTATATTTTTTGTCTGTCCTGTTTCAATTATCTATTATCTTTTCTCATTAAACAAAATTTCTCCTGCAGTTACTGATTGGAGTATGACGCCTTTATATCTTTTAAGTTTATCCATTTAACTCTTATTTAGGCTTCAATATATACCCTAAAGTTATAACATTCAATATAATACATAACTTCCATTCGGATTCTGCTTGGTACATTCTTAAAATACACACTATATTCTTTAAAAAAGAAAAAGATATAAATGTATGTAATTAAAGCAACACATTCCATTCCATTCCAATTCAATTCTATCATTAATATTAATATTCATTAAAGTCTTAACTTCTTTAACATTACTTTTCAATTAAATATCATACTTCTATGGGAACAATTATAAGCTTTCCATAATTAATTCCCCCCCTCCTTCACTTATATTTTATAAAACATTAACTAATTAAAATGTTCCTGTTCCTTCCTAATTCAATTTTCTCATTTATTTTCACTTATTTTATTAACAAACATTTCACTAAATTACACTAACTATTTTATCCCTCATTTTAATCATACATTGTTTCCAATTTTCTAAAGTTATTTCTATTACTAATATAACAATACAATCTTATGTACCTTTACAGAATCCCTTTTTCAAGTTAGATTTTCACCCATTATCTCTAAATAGGACCTGTTTCTCTATATCTTGCCCCGGTCCTTTGTAACTTCTTTTCCTTTCCTTCTTCCCTCTCTTCTTCTCTCTCCCCTTTTTACCCCCTTGTCTCTCTACCTCTATTTTTCTCTTCTGTATTCCCCTTTTCTGTTGCTTTCCAGTATTATACTTATTTTTTGAATTATTTTTCTTTTCTTTGGTTGTTTTTTTAAATCTTAAATTCTCCATTCTCTTCCCCCCCTTTCCTTTTTCTTCCCCACATAAAATTGCTTGTTCATTAAAGATGGCTTCTTCTTTGTCCCAGTCTTCTTGTTTTGCAGACATTTCTTGTTGTTTCTCATAGTTCCAAATCTCCATTTCTAAGAATTGAAAAATGAAGCCAAAAGAACCCTTCCCTTCTTGTGCATCTTCTTTGTACTTTTTAAGTTCCATTTTCAATTCATCCAGAAGTGGTGCCATTGTATAAATTTTTAAACAACCACCCAATTAATTTTAGTCATTCAAATGTAATAACCAAGAATCCAACGATCACCAAATAATCCAAATACACACAAGCTGTTTCTTTTTGCTCTTTTTTTTCCCCTTTCTCTTCTTGGAGTTACTGTTTAGTTACAAAGTTTCAGTTAAAATGTATCTTTTAGAAGTCTTGTTGAAGTTATACTGTAGATTCTTTTTAATTCCAGGCAGTCTCCTCCCTCTTCCACATCCTGCCCTTATTCTTTTTCTCTCCCTTCCTGCTTATGAGAAAAAAAAAATTTAGTGTCCAGAAATCTTTATTATCCCTTTGGCATTTTGTTTTATTTTCAGCTTAATTGCCTATTGATGTCAAAGCGGATTTTTCCGATTTCTTATTTAAGTCTCTTAGTTGTCAGTATAGGGAAGGAGAGAGAAGAAAAAAAAAGCCAAACCTTTCCCTTTTCACTTTCCTTCGCTGCTTCCGACTCTTCTTTGGGAGCGATGTTATTTTTTTGTAAGTTTAAATTCCAGGGTACCTTAGTTGTTGCTTTTACAATTTAACCCGGTCAGCCAAAACTTTCATTTCTTATCTTCCTCCTGCACATTCTTTTCCGGCCAAGTTCTTCTTGTTGGTGGCCATTTCTGACCACCGCTGCAAACGCCTTCAGGAAAGGGAGTAATGGCCAGCTGAGGAGGAGAGATGTGGCTCTCCTCAACCCTGCTGGTGGTCTCCCCCCTCTTCACCACCTCTACGGGGTGGCTTAGCCCCGAAACCAGCCGGCTTGGGGCACTCCAGCAGCAAGCCCAGACCTAAACCACGCATGATCAAGGATTTCTGTCTGTCGCCGAAGAGACTTCAAACCGGAAGCCCATATGTTTACTCTTAAGTCCCATGCCTTATCATCAGTTTAGGACAGGTTACCTTGGTAACTTCTTTTATATTTTATTTTCTATATGTATAAAACAGTTTCAAAGCAGCCAATATTTTGTTCATCACACCACTTACTATTAACATTCCACGTACACTGATCTATATATTGATCTAAAATATGAGGTCATAGCAAAGAAAAAACTGGATTACATATACTCACAATGCCTGCACTGTAACCTATACTGTTTTCCAAAGCACGTTCATGTAACAAAAACAAAAATGTTGTGTTTGGAATTTTTTGACATTGAGGGGAGAAAAAACTGAAATAATATATTTGTGGCTGCAGAAAATTTAAGTTTAACACATTTTATTTTCTTCTCACCCTCATTCTCATTTGTCAGTTGATGCAACATAATTTCATTCAGTCTTTCAGGAATCCACATCTTTCTCAAAAAAAAGTGATTTTGATATGATCTAAGTTTTTCATTAAAATAAGTTGATCGGATATATTTTTCTAGAAAAAAATCTTCCTTTGTATGCTGACCAAGTTTTTTGAAATCTTCTTTAAATTAACTGGTCAGACTTCATTAATCTTCCACATAGATGTAAGTCTTTTCTAAATATCTCTTTATCCTTTGTTCTGAGAAGAAAACGAACAGGGGTTTGATGGTTCTCCCTTCCATTATAAAGGTGGAGCAGTGAAGAAGCTATCAGCATCATATCTTATAAGAAGTCTAACTCTGTGGTCCAGAATATGATGAAAGAATTCTCTTGGAGAAAATTCCAGCAGGTTGGACGTTTCTTCACTGCCATTGTCTCTATTCAAAAGGCTACTGAACTTATTAATTTGTCCTATCAATCCATCTTTGTTAATTATCTTCGGTTCCTGATATACCATGAGACTATTAAATGGACTGTTCTTGTGCAACATCTATATATTCTTTACATCTTAGTTCAACAGGCATATGACCCACTCTTGAGAATTCTTAGTAATTCACACTAATCTTTCTCTCACCAAAAGCAGACTGTTTAAAGCTAATAAAGGATCATTTCTTCACATCATTGGTTGTTAAAGATTATAACATTTCATGTACAAATTGAAAATATAAGAGGGCAGAAGGCAGAGGCAGAATTGATAGCAATGATGTATTTCACATGTAATTTTTTTTGAATGGCATGTATGAAAATATCCATAACACATACATCCAACTGAAAACTCATCTATATCAACACTATACGTTATTATTTGTTTCCTATTACTTACAAAGATGGTGAGCATATCGTAAATGAAATACATCACATCCATGCACATGATGGTAAAGAGTTTTCTCTATCAAATCTTGTGGCTCATACCCGGTTAATTCAGTGACTCTAAAAGAGAAAATATATCGAAGAAACATTATAGGTACTACTCAACTTACGACCATAATTGAACCTAAACTTTTTTTTTGTTTGCTCCGCTTTATGACTTTTCTTGCCACAGCTGTTAAGTGAATCACTGCAGTTGATAAATTAATAACCCAGGTTTTAAGTGAATCTGGCTTCCACATTGACTTTGCTTGTCAGAAGGTCACAAAAAGTGATCGCATGACCCTAGGACACTGAAGCCATCATAAATATGAGTTAGTTGCCAAGCATCTGCCTTTTGATCATGTGAACATGGGAATGCTGCAATGGTCGTGTGAAAAATGGTCGTAAGTCATTTTTTTCAGTGACGTCACTTTGAACGGTCACTAAATGAACTGTTGTAAATTGAGGACTACCAGTGCTTTTGTAAACAAGTTATCATTCATTTCAGATATCTAGAAATTGAAGTACAGGTAGTCCTCACTGACCATAATTAGGACAGGCAACTCCATCGATTAGTCTTCTATCAAGTTGCTCAACTATCAGGTCATAGATACAGAAACAGTGCTAAACCTATGTGCAAAATTAACCTGGCTGATAAGTTACATGCATAAAATAGGGGCATGGAATAAAGTGAGAGGGAATGATCAATCAGGAACAAGCTCTGTCTAATAAAACCCAAATAGAAACAATAAAGGGATATAGCAACACCAGTTCTTTGTTGTTCAAAGCAAAGCAAGCCTGTAATGCATTCAGTGATGATAGAAGCAGCAACATATATTGTAGCTGCAGAGCATACATCTTTTTCCTAGCTTAATCTTCTACCCAGATCCAGTAACTTTTCAAAAGTACAAAATTAGTACCTAAAAGGAGCTGTCATGGATTCCTCCTGATTCTGAAACCGAAGAAGAGAATCTAGACTACTTCTGGCCTACAATTCAAGAGGCAATAGGCTGTCAGCCACATAGAAGTAATGGGTGTGATTCAGTGCAGCTGGCCACTGATTCCAACAGTAACAAGTCAGACTCAGACATTGGAAGACCATCAAGGCCTAAATCACATGCCAGCTCAAGGGGGCCAAGCAGCAAAGATCAGCATGGCTCCTTGAGAAGAATGACATTAACTTTTCTAATCGATCACAGCCAGGAATTCTATTTAAGAGCATACTCCAAACCCCCTCCCCTTGTTGGAACAACTTCCCTGTCTCCAGATTTGTATCATGTTGCCCTGCTGCAGATGCCTTATATTCCTTGTTCTATGATGGGAATCTCAGCTTGATATTTGGATTGGCTTTTATGGATCTCTCTGAAGTTTGATCCTGTCTTGAACAATTGCCTCATTGGTCCTCTGCCCATACGCTCCTGGTTCAACCTGTCTTGCATGGACAGGAGTTCATGTAAGAGAGGACATGCGCTTTGGAAAGCACTGATTGGGCAATTGGTGGGTAGTTAGGAGTCAGTATTGTCTCATAACAAACATCAAAATCGTCATGGAGAGCAATGCCTTCCCAAGGGACTGGAGTGGAGGGTTGTTTTCACAGCAGCCTAAAAACAGCCAATAAAGGCTGGACAGATCATAATCCTGACTACATAATCAACTGCATTATAAATGAAATATGCTAAATTATGTTCATGATGAAATTGTTTTGGGATAAGACAAAATGCTACTTTAAAACTAGAGCAGCTAAAGATGATTTAAAGCTCCCGAGTTGTGGGCTGAAGATGAAGACATCATAAAGACATGAAATATAAAAAATAGCTGCATGAGCAATTCGTGCATTAAGTAGTAGGATGGGTGATAGAACTCTCTATCTGATATGATTTTTTTTCCAAGTGCCTAAGTCAGCTAACAGGACTCTCACTCAAGACAGCAATAGAATGACAGCTCTGTAATGAGCTTCTGATTTTTTAAATTCATTTTAGTTTTTATATTTTTATTTTTATTTAGTTTTATATTATTTATATTTACAGGTATATGATACTACATTTAGATTTAGTATTAATCAAGTAGTTTTAGCATTTTTCTTCATTTTACTTAATTCCTTAGCTCCCTGTAGTTTATTTTTTAATAATTTTAATACCCTAATTTTTGTTAATAATTAGAAATAAGACTTGCTGGACCCACAGAGTGTTGTACACAATTTCAAATACTGAGGATGCAAAATAATACAACAATATGATGACAGTGCATATTTGATAGTTTGCAGACAATTTCGGCAAATATTTATGGCAAATTCATTTTCGTTTTTCAAATATTTAACATTTAGCAATTGGTTCTCTCAAAAGCTAAAGCTCCCTTTTGTGATGAGTGAACTGTCCCTCATTATTTCTAAATTATGTTAATTTGGGAACAACTCAGAACAATGTGAAGTGAACTCAAATGTATAGTGAATTCAAGTAGACTCTTAGGGCAGATATACTGTTAACTGTGCTTTTACACCTATAAAAGCAAAGACATTCAGTTTCGCTCATGTAACTGCTAAAAAAGTAGTCATGGATATTAAATAAGTAACTCATTTTCCTATCAATAAACATTAAATGTTTCCTATCAATAACCTATTATTAAATTATTAAAACAATTTGATTTAGCATGTAAGTGTTGAATCAATCCAAGGAAAATATTACTTCTTCAATTTTGTATACATTGTATTGTTTCTTTATATTGTTTTAGCTTTTATGTTTTAAACTGTTTTCTGCAAGTTAAGATGATAAGTAGTCATGTTTCAAAAACTTTCTACTTACCTGGAATCCAGAAAGATAAGCTTTAAGTCCAGGCTCGCTCTGAACATAAACATATTACTATGAAGTTTGATCTCAGTAATTGCGCTTGGAGGTAGTGATTGACCTACAGCAACCAATCCCACAATTTGGTAACAGGTGTCATACAAAGATATATCCAGCATATACTGTCGAATCTTCAAATAGCCACTGCAATGGATCACCTAGTATGGACAAAAGTAACATTTATAAAGAGAGAGAAAAGAGATAGCATCTTGATAACATTGAATCAAAACCTAGTATTTTCCTCTTTTATTACATTAATTTTTGCTGTCCAGTTTGTTAAAAACCTTAATTTTTAGACAATGGTGAATAAATATATTGCATGATATTAATTTAACATTAACTAATTTAACATTAGTTAAATTAATTTATAATTAAGTTGATATAAATTGGCATATAAATTGGTATTAACAATGAACTGAGAAAACCCTGACTGAATATAGTTGCATTTAATTGCTTCATGTTGGCTTTTCAAATTCCAATTGGGTTATTTTAACCATTCATTTGTGTCTGACGCCTGGCGACTTTATAGGTATGTGCTCTCCATGTCAAGCAGCATCTTTCATTTATTGGATATTCATCTTTGTATCATATTTGATGTTATCAAGCCAGCATGTTCTTTGCTTGCCCCTTCTTCTTGTAAATCAGATGTAGACTTACGATTTTAGCTTCTAGTGATGCGTCTGTTTTGTGTGTGTGTGTGTGTGTGTGTGTGTGTGATTTAGCACCTCTTTGTTAATCACTCTGGATGTCCATGGTATGCACAATAACTTACACCAGCATCACAGTCCAAACCATCAATTCTTCTTCGATCAGCCATTCTTAGGGTCCAATTCTCATACCCATACATCATTATAGGGAAGACTATTTCTCTAACTAGTGTGCTTTTTGTATTTATATCAATATCTCTGCTTTTCCAGATCTTATTCAGGTTAACTATTGCAGTGCATCTTAAGGTTATCCTGTGTTTTATTTTAGGATTTCATCATGAACAATTTTTGATCCGAGGAAGATAAATTCTCAAACTAATTCAGTTTTCTCCATGTTGATTTTAAACATCTTGTGTCCATCTGCAGCTGTTGTCCTTATCTTTGTTTTCCTGATGTTAAGACTCAGTGCTACATGTTCACTTTCATCATTGATTTTTCAGATAATTTTTTCCAGGTCTTCCTTTCTTTCAGCCAATAGTGTTGTATCATCTGCATACCTCAAATTATTTATGGTTCTTCCCCCAATCTTCACTCCAACATCAGGCAGTTCCAGATCTAAAATCCGCATGATCACTTCTGCATACAGATTGAACAAAAATGGTGATAAAATACATCCCTGTCTAACTCCTTTGCTGATCCTGAACCAATCTGTGCACCATAAAGCGCTCTCATTGTTACCTACAGGGATCAGACAAGCCTGAACAGGTGCTTTGGGACACCAAAATCATGCAAAGCTGCCCATAGCTTATTGTGTCTACGCAGTCCAAATCTATTTGGAAATGATAAAACATATATGTATGTTTTCTGAGGTTCTCGCGGGTATTTGTATGTGGATCTTTGGTTATTCGGGTTTTCTCCCGCGTAAGATTGGAAGTATCTAGGCAACGTTTCGATGAAGTCTCATTCATCATCTTCAGGCTTGTGTCTTCGGCTCTGTGCTTCTCAGAGTGTGCTTCTCACTCTGAGAAGCACAGAGCCGAAGACACAAGCCTGAA